GATTTTTTGATTCTACAAATCTTTTTTTTTTTCTAATTATTCAAAAAAATTTGAAATTATCGTTAGAAATTTTAATTTTAGAAGAGCGAGAGAAGGAGAAAAGAGATGACATGGAAAAATATCTGAAAGAATGAGATTTAGGCGTGATGCACTCTATAAGAGTATTTTAATATAAAAAAAAATAAAATTCTAATTAGTTTGTACCAGAGAACCAATATGATAGGACATTGGCAGCCATCCAACTAGAAGCTGACCTGTGGCCATCTATGGCGGTTAGAGTGCGTGGGATGGTCTCCCGATTGTCGAGACCGAGCATAGGATGCTTTAGGCCGAGATTGAGCATAGAATGCTTGAGCAAACCAGAATGTGAACCTAGTCTATGTTGAGTATTAAATGACATTTCTGTATGAATATCGAGAAATGCGTTGTTGTGACAAGTTATCATGCGCTATCTAATTTACAAAGAACTCAAGACTAACCACAAAAAAGACAAGACATGACCCTTGCTATAGGAGAGGAGTCCTATGAGGGTCTCCGCAAAGATCCTGACATTTACTCATAATGATCGACGGTAAGTTGCAAATATTGGGGTAGAGCACTTGATGTTCGAAAAATGGAGTTATAAGTGCACGATCAATCTCAACATATAAACATGGATGATCAATCACCTAACATTAGTAAGAAATGACAGGATAACACTTATTACTCTAGACAGTGGGTACCGGCTACAAAGCCTTTGAATAAATGCCACCTTGCAATCAAATATATAAATACCCAGGCAAATAAAAATAAATTACACTAACAAGAATAACTCTGCACTATATAGTATCTCAAATTTGAGCATTGACTGACTTAAGTATCGGGAGGATAAATCAGGTGCACCCCCGACCCATTTTTTGGCGTTGTTCCTTGTTTTAGAATTGATTACCGAGCTCAATTTGATTATTACTATCTCAAATTATTGCAGGATATAACCGTGCACAATATTATAATATAGCATGTACTGTTTAAGGCCTTATAGACAAAGCCTAGACCTAATAATAAAAAAGAGATTCAGAGAGAAGTTTCAAACAATTTTCATTTTTTAAATTTTCTGGGACGGTGGGGACCGTGAAAGCTTCCATTAAAACATTAAAAAAACATGATGCGTACTCACTAAGACCACAGGAATTAGGAACCACAAAAACGCCCAAAACAACACTAATATCAGCATAAAATAATACAGACACATAATGTATCATCTTCAACCTTATCCAGTGCTGTACCAAAGCTTTCCTTGCTCTTCTTATAAATACCCATATAAGAAAAAAAACCTGGTCATCAAACTTCATTTCTAGTGAGAGAGAGAGAGAGATGGCAGATATTGCTATGTTGGTTGCAGAGGAGTATGAGAGGAGGGTGAAGAGCTCAAGAAAAAGTGGTTTTGGTGGGGAAGAGATTGACTTGTTCTCTTGTTTTTCTGTGTTGGCTCATAGGCTTGATGTGACTCTTTGATCAAAAGAAGGTTTGTTGAAGGGAAAATGGAGATGGCCAAGTGGGTTGTGGAGCCTAGAAGCCAGATTGGTCTTGCAGCCATTAATAGTTTCTTCTCTGCTTGACAACTTCCCATTTATTTTCAGCAATTTAATTTTTTGTTTAAAGGGATATAGATATTTCCCCTTTCCTTTTTTTTTTTTGGCGGTCGATATTGTAATTTGCACAAAAATATGTGATTTCTGTGAAATTACCATTCTCCCCCTCCCACTTTAACAAAATATATTGTCAGCATACGCACTTGGCATCTGAAAAAACTTTGGGGAAATATTATACTTGGTTCATAAACTTTATTTTTTATTTTAATTTTGTCTTTGAAATTTTAATTGTTATAATTTAATTTTTCAACTATCAATTTTGTCTTAACTTGGTTATTTTGTCAATTTCCACCGTTTTGATTAAACGGAAACATGTGATTTAATTCTAGGAATGAATTAAACTGGGGTTTGTTGTTGGTTGATCTAATAGTGAAAATAAATGTACTTAATTGAGACAAAATTGATAGTTGAATGACAAAATTAAAACAATTGAAAATTCACAGACATTCGGCAGGAGACTAAGTGTTACGCGCATACAAACATTAAAGTTTGTATCTAATATGTTAAATATTATGAAGTCTAAGCGATTAAGTGACAAATTTCAGAAAATCTTTATATAATTCTTTCATAATAAAATTATCACATAATTTTTTAAAAAATTATAAATTGATCCCTATGTATCTAAAATTTACTAAGACATATTCATATCGTGTCTGAAGTTTGTGCAAAACTTTATAGTCATTTGGGTATAGTAATTGATATATTAAAAAAATTTTAGGATGGGAATAATTAGAGACATTTAATATATACTAGTAAAAATATATATCTACATTTAAGTAATTATAACCCAAAAAAGTTGAGTTTGGGCATGACCCCTAGGCCTAAGCGAGCACCGCCCTTATTCTGATCAAGTCTCCCTATAAATAATTTTAAAAATATTGATAATATTATTTTTAAAGTGACAATAGTTATTTTCCTCAACTTCTCTTTATCCATTCATCCATTGGAAGGTAAATGTATAACGTGTACACCCCCTGTTTGGCACCGCCGCCCACCGACGTCATGCGGCCCTCTTTTTCCGTATAACCTTTGACTAAACCACTCTTACTTTTTCATTTTCCTAGCATTTGCCCTTTTTTATTTTAAATTAGAGATAACATGTATTTGAAGACACGATACAACATAAATCAATCAATTAATTTCTTAAAAAAATTTAATTTAATTTTTTTTAATTTAAGCAATTATAATTAATATAATCCCCAAATATTATTTGGAGACTATTTCGACAAAATTTGCTCTAAAAATAAGAATCCAAAAAAATCTCAACCTATCTATAAAAATCAGAATTTCTTGAATACACAATACAATCAAATCAAAGCTAAAAATTTAACTTGGTTTCCTTTGAAAATAGAAGACTATAAAATATTAATCTATATACGAAATAAAAAAATAAACTAAACAATCCCCTAACATCAACAATTCATACTCAATCACCAAAACAATCAACAATTTCACATCAAACTAAACATATCCTCATAATCGTGAAATTAATTTATCACGCTAAACTCAAGAGTAAACAAAACCACACAAATTCGATTAAGTTGATATAATAATTATCCTTGAATTAGAACTTGAAAAATATTATTGTGCCTAAAGGCACTTTACAACCTAAAATAAATGGTTAATTTGAAATACTTTAATTAAATAGATTGAAATCAATCAAGCCCCCACTAATTTTTCAAAAAATTTGACAAAACTTCCTACAAAAATAGGAATTCAAGAAAATTTCAACCTGTCCACAAAACTCACAATTATACAGAACAATCTCAATAACGTCCCGTACCACTACAATTATATTCTATTTCCACCATAATCATCATACATCACAACTTAATTACACACTCAACCATCAATTCACATCAAAACCAAACATATCCTCATAACCATGTATAATTAATTCATCATACTAAACATGGAACAAACCAAATACACACAAATCCACATAATTGTGCCTAAACATAAATAAGAAATAAGATTAAAAAATGACCAAAATACGTAATTATATATAGTAGATTTGTAAAATGAGTCATTCTTTAATCTAGTTTATCAAAATAAGTCATTTATCTGCACATCATTGTAAAAACAGTTTCTCCATCACAGCCTTGAATGTAATTGTATCAATCCAAATCTGCAGGTTCCAACTGGGAGAATGTACAACAATATAACATTTACAAAAACAATTAAATTTAGTACACGATAGGAATTTTAAAATTATAAACAATAAAAAATAAATTTAGTTACCTTATTCAAACAATCTCATCGAAAAAGATGGTTTGCATTTAGTCTTTTTAACTCCTTCATCCCAACTTTATAGATGAAATAACATAAATAAAACATTTGATCAATAAAATTACATTGTTAAAATGTTAGCAATTTAATACCACTTGTAACGAAGTGCTTACCTTTTCCTTGTCAGTAGTGATTGATATTCTTTTTCCTTTACACTTTGTATTTACAGTTACGACTGCTCTTTCCTTTGCCTTTTAGATAGTAACCATAGATAAGTGAAATCATTATATATATATAAAAAAAAAGTCTAATCTGTAAACAAATTGATGTGTCATGACACTGTCTCAGAAAATGAGGATGCCATTGAGTTCACATTCGTTGCGGATCACAACACCAATATTATTTTTCTTGAACAATTGAACCAATACATGAATATACATTTAACAGGTAAATAAACACAAACTATATGAGAAAAAATTATTAAGAATATGATTGATATGACACTCATCTGACGGTTTGCTCTAAGTCTTCATCAATCTGTAAAAAGATGCGTAAAAATAAAGTGAAATAAATATGTGAATATTTTGCAGTGCCAAAAAAAATTAAAAAAAAAAATAGATGTATAAACTCACATGACAAAAAATGGTGAGATCTTTCATTTTTCAATGTTGAGAGTTTGCAGTGGTGGTTAGTATACTATGATGGCTGCAAATATAAGAAACAGAGTAAATCAAAAAATTAAAAATATTCGTTAAATACAAATTTCATACTACTTGACATACAATCTCTATCAATTAACACACAATCTACCTCTATTTCATACTAATTGACATATAATCTCTATAATTAATCAAAACCCTATAAAAACCTATTTCATACAAAGTAACATTCATCAAATCAAGATACTAAAAAATCAAATTAAAGTTTCACAAACTATATTGAACACCCAATTTAAAAATAAATTACTCTGCAAAATGAATATTCAATAATTCTCAACTCAACATATGCACAAACAACCTAACATTTGTAACTAAAAAAAAAGACATTCAATTAAACATCCAATTAAAATACATTCAAACTAAAAACACTCAAATTAAACACAAACATTCAAAAATTCAAATTAACCCAAATTCAAAAACCCAAACATAAATGTGTGTGCGTTTTGTGTGTTGTTGTACCTAGGATTAAACACAGTAAAAAGCCCCAATTTAAACACAAATACAAAAAAAAATAAAATTTAAAACACCCAAATTAAACACAAACATTTAAAAACTCATCTACATTTGTAGCATAAACATAGCCCATCTACATTTTCAAAACTACCCACTTGGTCATGTATCAATAATTCCCACCTCAGATGTACAAAATATCAAGCTTCACAAGCTCTTAACCTAGATTTCAAAATTAGCCAATACATCCCAAATGCCAAAGTATCTATAATATAAAACACTTAAAATACTATACACACTTAGCCAATACATCTCAAATGCCAATACATCCAAATGTCAAAGTATCGATCCAAGCACTTTCGGTTAAAAAGCACATAAGCAAACACACATATACACAGTTAAATAAATGTATTGATGTGGCTAATTCAAATCACTAAACATGTTCAAAACCTAAAATACTAATTAATTTCACCTCTCCCACTAATGATCCAAGCACTTTCGGTTAAAAAGCACATAAGCAAACACACATATACACAGTTAAATATATGTATCGATGGCGCCACCTTCCTGAAAATTCGGGACATCTGTAGTGCTCGCAATTTTAGCAGCAGACTTCAAAACAAGAAAGTTCTCATCAGGAAGCCAAGACCTCCAAAGGGTATCATTGAAAGGGGTCAACTTTGAACCCCCAAGATTAATCCTCTGAACTGTTTCTAAAATCTGTGAAGAAATGTTCTTAAACTCTTCAACCCCATTAGGACCAATTAACTTAGTCCCGTGATCAAGAATAAAATCATCAGGAGCCGAAAACACTTCAATTGCATTAACAAACGCAAAACCCGAATCACCTATAGGCACAAACAATATTTCGAACTCTACCTTATCTACCTTCAAGATAAACTCTTTGAGCACAGCAAACAACAATAGGCCAAGTACTCTTTTTATTCAAAGACTATGTCCAGTCAAAAGAAATCATTACTGTATGCCAGAATACCTCTAGACACCATTCTGTACATTATATTCAATTCATATTTGGAAATTGTTCATAAAAATAATTTATTACATCCAAAATGTGGCCTCATTGTGAAGCCATACATAGATTAAAAAAAATCTAATTTATATTAAGAAACATTAAAATAGAGATCAACACTTAAAATTTCACGAAACCCCATTTTCTATTTGAACTCATCAAAAAGCTTGATAGTTATGTACGCTTTCATCCCCAATTAAATTTATAATATTAGAAAAATCCAAAAATTCCAAATATCACAAACAACTCTGCCCAAACATTGGACACCCTAAAATTCATTTGCTCAAGACGGCAATATAGCACATACCCAACAGCCAGAGCATGGACCTACTCCAAAATAGCACTTGAATTATCAAAAACACCACAAACCCATATTCTCAAGTCATCGGAAAACCCTAATTGCACTAACAATGAAGTAGAAAAAAGTAAATACTCATCTGCTCAAACCATCAAAACAAGAGTAATTCAAGGGAAGAAACACATACCACTAAAATTGCTCAAAAGGGAAACCCCATTACCCGAAACACTGAAATTTGCATTATTGAGATTGTAATTCTGAGAAGTGAATGGAGAGAAATGAAGCCGTACCAAATGGGTGCCAATTTTCCTGATGCTAAATGTATAGCTTGAAGCACTTGTGAAGACTCTAGTTGTACTGTAAAGCATAAATGAATTCAAAGATGGGTTTGTGTTCGTGGGAGAGATCGATTGTCCTGAAGAAAGATAAACCGAACCCAACTTCGTCGAATCGCCGATAGAGTTTCAGTTATTGTCATGGGGTATGAAAGCAGCTGATAAATGGATGAGATAGAAAGTCAGAGAGAGAAAAGGAACAACCTTGGTGTCCATCAATGTAAGATTTCTGGGTTTTGAAGAACACATAATTTAGCAGCTACAATTCTAAGAGGTGGATCGTGAGTGAAACTCCGACAGATTTCGGAATGATGCGTCTGGATTCCCAAGAGTTTCGATTGGGTGCTCTCTCTTATGATCCCATCGAAGAATGAGATGAGAGAGAGGGGCAGAGGATTGGGAAGAGAAAGGAAGGGAGGGGGAAGTGACCATGCCATGAATTTTGGGAAAGTGACTGTTGACTCTCGCCGTCTGCTCTTTGACAGTGAAGAGACTAAGATGAGAGAGAGGACATGAAAGAGAAGAGATATGGGGGAAGAGCCGTCGGGTGAGAGAGGACATGAGAGAGAACAGATCTTGGGTGGGTTGGGTTAAATTGAATGAGATGGATTTAGGGAAAAATACATGGACTATTGAATTTGAATGAGATGTATTGTGAGTTTTTGGATGTTGAAGCCTTTGGATGAATGAAGACCGTACGATCAACTTGTTGAAGTCCCGTCCTGTTTTATATTATAGATATTTGGAAATTGTTCATAAAAATAATTCATTACATCCAAAATGTGCCCTCATTGTGAAGCCATATATAGATTAAAAAAAATCTAATTTATATTAAGAAACATTAAAATAGAGATCAACACTTAAAATTTCATGAAACTCCATTTTCTATTTGAACTCATCAAAAAGCTTGATAGTTATGTACGCTTTCATCCCCAATTAAATTTATAATATCAGACAAATCCAAAAATCCCAAATATCACAAACAACTCTGCCCAAACATAGGACACCCTAAAATTCATCTGCTCAAGAGGCAATATAGCACATACCCAACAGCCAGAGCATGGACCTACTCCAAAATAGCACTTGAATTATCAAAAACACCACAAACCCATATTCTCAAGTCATCGGAAAACCCTAATTGCACTAACAATGAAGTAGAAAAAAGTAAATACTCATCTGCTCAAACCATCAAAACAAGAGTAAATCAAGGGAAGAAACACATACCACTAAAATTGCTCAAAAGGGAAACCCCATTACCCGAAACACTGAAATTTGCATTATTGAGATTGTAATTCTGAGAAGTGAATGGAGAGAAATGAAGCCGTACCAAATGGGTGCCAATTTTCCTGATGCTAAATGTATAGCTTGAAGCACTTGTGAAGACTCTAGTTGTACTGTAAAGCATAGATGAATTCAAAGATGGGTTTGTGTTCGTGAGAGAGATCAATTGTCCTAAAGAAAGATAAACCGAACCCAACTTTGTCGAATCGCCGATAAAGTTTCGGTTATTGTCACGGGGTGTGAAAGCAATTGATAAATGGATGAGATAGAAAGTCAGAGAGAGAAAAGGAACAACCTTGGTGTCCATCAATGTAAGATTTCTGGGTTTTGAAGAACACATAATTTAGCAGCTACAATTCTAAAACATAAGTTTCATCAATGGCTAAAAGTTGCAAAATTTAGAAGGAGACGTACCAGGAAGAGGTGGATCGTGAGTGAAACTCCGACAGATTTCGAAATGATGCGTCTGGATTCCCAAGAGTTTCGATTGGGTGCTCTCTCTTATGATCCCATCGAAGAATGAGATGAGAGAGAGGAGGAGGGGATGGGGAAGAGAGAGGAAGGGAGGGGGAAGTGGCCATGCCATGAATTTTGGAAAAGTAACCGTTGTCTCTCGCCGTCTGCTCTCTGACAGTGAAGAGACTAAGATGAGAGAGAACATGAAAGAGGAGAGATATGGGGAAGAGCCGTTGGGAGAGAGAGGACATGAGAGAGATCTGACAGTGAAGAGACTAAGATGAGAGAGAACATGAAAGAGGAGAGATATGGGGAAGAGCCGTTGGGAGAGAGAGGACATGAGAGAGAACAGACCTTGGGTTGGATTGGATTAGATTGGATTTGATTAAGTTGGGTTGGATTGGATTAGATTGGGTTTAATTAAGTTGGGTTGGATGTGATGATTGAGTTGGATTAAGTTGAATGAGATAGATTTAGGGAAAAAATATATAGACTATTGAATTTGAATGAGATGTATTGTGAATTTTTGAATGTTGAAGCCTTTAGATGAATGAAAATCGTACGATCAATTTGTTGAAATCCGCCCATTTTATATTATAGATTGAAAAAAAAAAGGTGATTCAAATTATGTGCTTGAGAATCACTGTTTCTCTATTTTTCTTAATAACTAGTATTTTTAAAAAAGAAATATAATAGATTATAAATGCAGCATGACAAAAGAGGATTCCTTTAATTGATTTTAAAAAATATTAGAACAAGACTACATTGAAATAAATTAAATATTATAAAAATATATAACAGTATATGTAACTCGATCAAGCCACCATGTTGAAGTTATGTGTTAAAAAACCTTTAAGCGATGACTTTTATCTTTAAAGTAAAATCTAACTTCATCAGGATATGTTTATATTTTATAAACTTTCACACATTGAGAGTGTGCTTTGCTTTAGGTATTACCAAAGAGGGATTAGTTAAAAATAACATCAGGCTCACTTTATCTTTCTTATATTTATGTTTGGATACACTTTTTGGACCCAATATTATTACCTAAAAATAATATCGGCTCGGATGAATAATATATTTAATACCATATACAATCTTTTCAATAAAGGTGGGTTTAAATAATCCAATTGGGATATATTTGGCCAAAAGATATTTTTACCCTCAAGTATCTCTAGAATATAAATGTCACTCTTTATTTTGAATGTTTTTTAATAATTTAATGTTTATACCATTTCCATCGAAACAAAATATTTGATGAGATATGATGGGTCAAGCTCAAGGGTCCAACTCATGTTACAAGTCCAAGGACCCAACTCCAAGAGGTGCAGCTTGCCAAGCTCAAAGGGGTTTGCACCCGATCAAGCTTATCAGGTTCCAAGAGCTACATTAGTAGAGGAGCACACAAGATCTTTTAAGAGCTCATCCAAGAGTCTCCTCTACCACCTTAGAGTAAGGGTCATCCAAGAGTCTCCTCTACCACCTTGGAGCAAGGGTCGTCCAAAAGTCTCCTCTACCACCTTGGAGTACGGGTCATCCAAGAGCCTTCTCTCTACCTTGGAGTAAGGGAGCATCCAGGAGCCTCACCCTTGTCGCTTGAAGAGAGTCAACCTTCCCCCATCTTTTGACCAAGTCCTTTAGAGAGCATCATAACTTTCTTACCCGTTGAGGAGAAGAGTGGTTGACAAGCTATTTAACTATCGTTAATGTCACCTCAATTCGTTATGACTATTAAACGGCTTTAACCCGTTATGACCGCCAAACTAACTATTCAATTACTTCACTAGGGCACTATAAATTGTAAGCTCCACCAACACTTTGAGGCATCTCACTCATTTTGGGCATAATACTCTCCTTATCTCTGAAAGCTTGAAATATTTTGCTCTCCCACTGCACTAGAGTTAATAAAATCCCGGCGACTCTTGCCATTCCCAATGGACGTAGGTCACCTTGACTGAACCACTATAAACTTGATTTTCTCTCTCCCTCTTTTCACTTTTCTATATTTTTTATGATTTAATTAACAGGTGGTGTACAAAATAATTTTGTGCATCATCAGTTTGGCGCTGTCTGTGGGAACGACAAAATTCTCATGTAAACACTTTATTTGCTGAATAAAAGGTGATCACTGCTGGAATCCACGATCAGCCTAAAGACTTTCTACCATGAGAGGAAGAGGTTGCTCCTCCACCTACCAATCCCGTCTCAAATGTGCAGCAGATGTTGAACACAATGCAGCAACTTATAGTCCAGAACCAGCAGATTCTGTAATTGATGCTTGAACAACAAGGAGGAGCACAGCCTGGACCTCAAGCTAGGGGAGCTCCACTCCCAAGTCATCAAGGAGCTCTCCACCTCGGCACTCCCACATAGGCGCCCTACTTATGGGAGCTCCCTTAGGCGCCCCACATAGGGGGGCCTATCATGAGAAACCTCCTCCTCTAGCCCCTGTTCCTGCTCTCTATGGTGGAGACCCTCCTTTTTAAAACATTAAGTTCTAAAAAGGTAGTGAACAATTTGTGATAAAGAGCAGAAAGAAAAAAAAGGAAAAAATCAAGTTCTAATAGAAAACATTGAAGAATCATAAGAGGTGGATGAATGGAGAAATCATGCTTAACATATTTATGACAGTGAACAAGACAATGAACAAGCATGCAATGAAAGGACGAAATCCAAAACATCAGAGCAAATGGATGAAGTCACAAACTTGAAATGGAAAGAGATGCATCATTAGAATTAAATAGGTATCTCAGAAAAGAATATGATACAACAAAGGAACAGAATAAATCAATGAAGGCTGTCATTCTGAAACAAAAAGAACACAATGAACAACCAAAGTCTAAAATGCTGATATTCAAAAAGGGAAAGAAGGAAGCAATAATACATAATGAATAGTTGATTGAGAAATTTGGAAAATTAATGGAAGAGTTGATCTTCATGAGAGTTGAAAATAAAACCTTGAAACATCAAATTGAGAAGATAACAGTGGAAAGGGAACAAGAACAAAAAAATACACAACATGCAGACAGTGAACAATAGAAGTTTGTAACAAATATAGATGATAGTGAATAAATTAGTGCTGAAATAATGATATTGCAAGTGGAAAAAGGGAAAGAGCATTGACAACAATTGAAAATGAAAAATTGAAGAATCAAAATTTGAAGATGAACAAGACAGTTCACAACAAAATAGTGAATCAATAGTATTGGAAAATGCATTAGAAATTTTGAAAATCTCAATTGTAGACAAAAATAAGAAAATCAAACAATTGGATGCCTCGATCAAAAGACTGAATGATGACAACAAATCTCAAGATGTAATTTTAGATGAATTTAGAAAAAAATTCAAACGACTATTGGAAGAAAAGAAATCTCTTCAAGATCAGCTGGATGACATTGTTGCATAGTCTGTGACACAACGATTAGCAGAAAAGAGCAAAAATGATATAATGATATTCCAGCAATTGAGTAGAGATCCATGGTGAAGGCGATAAAGAAGAAGGAAACAAAGTGAAAAAGAGACACATACTTCCAATGCTCCACAATGAAAAAGCAAACAAGGCCAAAGATTGTAAAAGATCCACCATTTATAGAAAAAAAAAAAAGGAAAAGAGAAAATGTTAAAGTATCCAGAAATCAGGAATATGGATGGCATCCAGCATACTAACAGAGATTTCAAGAATAGAAAAAAAGACCTTCAACTTAGTTTGGAAATTGTCGAATTGCAAACTTCTCAAAAAATAAGATTTTGAAAAATTCAACTAATAATGTCAAAGGAAGGAGAATCATAAGTCCAAATACAAATTATACTTAATTAATTCCTCTATAACCAATATCCACTTATACTTGAACATCAACTCATGTAGGGCACAATTATGCAATGGCTCAGAACAAGGAGATACATCAGAATGAAAGACATACTCTTACTATTGAATTATTTTCCCATTGCAAATAATGTGAGTACATAATTCAATTTATTGTTGAAAGAAACATAATAATGATGAATTCATGTTATTTTTGATGTACTAACATTTTTAATGTTCACTATTCATATTTAGAAGGTTATTGACTGCTGGGCAGAGTTATTGTCAGAAAAACAAGACAAAATTGACCAAGAAACAACAATTAGAAAATCATGTTTCTTCAACTATCTATCTTGGGTAAGAAAATAATTCAAAATCCTATATTTTGATGAAAAAAATGTCAAAATAATGAACTTCCTTGACAAATGTAGACAATGGTGACAAGCAACAAATTTGAACAAAGTTATGTTCAGAGCGAGATTGACACCAAAATCGAAAAAAAACCAAAGAGATATATAGATACCTCCACTTCCCAATGAATTCAACATGATACAACAATTCAGCTGAACCATTTCATTGGATACGACTTGTATTCGACCATGAGGAAGGAATGTGGAATTACTATAACTCGATGACACCAATAACAAAGAATCTATAACAAAGAATCATTATTATATTTGATTAGATGATTCGACAAAAGTGGTAAGCTTAACATACTTTTCATTGTTTCCCATCACAAACTTTCATATTCATTTTCTCACAAAAAAGTAACAAATTGGCAGAAACAATACATTGAGAATGGGATGAGAAGTGGGTGTCAGAAACCAACCCCATAATCAGAGTCAACAGAGACTCAAATGAATTCATTTGATTTCTCAATCATGTCAATACAAAATAGCCCTTAACAACTGTAAAACTTGGGTAAATTTAAAATGTAAAAAGGACAAAATGATAATTTGTCACTATAGTACGGATTGTAAACCTAAATTTTTCTAGAACTTGGATGAAGAAATGAACCTCACTATTGGATTCGTCTCGTAAAATCTAGCTACTCCGTCAATTTTCGTCGATTTACGAGATAGTCGGATTTTTTACGTTTTACGAGGCGGTCGAGTCTTGGGTGACCCAAAAATAGAATTTTTAATAAAAATTCAAAATTTAGAAATTAATTTAATACAAATTAAAATAAAAATATTTTAAACTTGAACCGGGACAAAATTTAATCATTTTGGGGTGAAAACGGACCCCGAAAAAATAGGGTCGTGTGGCGTAATAAGAACCAAGTATTAGGGCCTATATAAAGGGGAAGAAAATTAGATTTCTTCCCCTATTCTTCATTCGTTACCCGATAGAAAGAGAAAGAGAGGAAACGGAAAAACTCTCCACCTTCTCTCTGCGATCTATGAAATTCTAGCAGTTGAATCCGCTCGGACCAAGAGGGAAAGTCGTTCTCCTCGACGTGGGCTACAAGACCATACAAAAATCGAAGAGTTTACCAAAGTTCCAAAAATGGGGCTTTAGAA